ATTATCTCAACGTTTTGGATCTTGTTGAGGATTGCTCTGTGGCCTAAGATGTGGTCTATTCTGGAGAACGTTCCATGTGCATTGGAAAAGAAAGTGTACTTTGTAGCTGTTGGGTGTGGTATTCTGTATATGTCTATTAGGTCAAGTTGGCTGATTGTGCCATTTAAGTCTTCTTTATCTTTGTTGAGTTTCTTTCTAGATGTTCTGTCCTTTACTAAGAGTGGTGTGTTGAAGTCGCCTACTATTATTGTGGAACTGTCAATTTCTCTTTACAGTGCTGTTAGAGTTTATGTATTTGGGAGTCCTGTCATTGGGTGCATAGATGTTTATTAATGGTTATGTCTTCATGATGGATCATCCGCTTAATCATTATATAGTTTCCTTCTTTGTATTTTATGGTGAATTTTTTTTTTGAAGGTTAAAAGAAGATTTTTTATTAATAGTACAAAAATATTGTATGAATTTGGCAAATTAAATAGGAAAAATGTATTTACTGGTCTTGTGCAAAATTACTATCTGATCCTTGTCTCTTGATTTTAGTAAATAGCCTTCTTAAAAAAAAAGTTAAATCACATTGTTTCCTAATTTATCAATTCCTCTTTTTTATAAAATCCATTATTTATCCATAGTAATATATTTTACATATTTTTAATAATGGCACAATTTTGATATAAAAACACATTACCATCAAGTCAATTCCGACTCATAGCAACCATATAGGACAGAATAGAATTGCCCCACAGGGTTTTCAAGGCTGTAATCTCTACAGAAGCAGACTGCCACATCTTTCTATTCCGGAGCAGCTGGTGGATTCAAACTGTTGAACTTGCAGTTATCAGCTGAGCTGTTTAACAACTGTGCCACCAGGCCTTCTTCAATTTTAGTATAGCAATCATTTATTTGGATTGCTGCATCATCTTTATGATGATAATATTTAATGAAGCATACTATGACAGAGATTTGACTGGTCATACCTTTATATACATTCTCAGAATATTTAATTTTTAGGAATTACTATATATAAAAATAATAAATATGAGTGTGTATATAAAAGTATGATCAGTCAAATGAGGTCTTTTGCAGCATATTTGCCCAATGCAGTAAGTTGTTTGGAATTTTGTTTTAATGTCTATTTTATCTGAGATTAGTATTGCCACTCTTTTTTGATATATTTTTTTCCATGCTTTGATTTTTGATAAATTTACATCTTTGTTTCTAAGGTGTGTCTCTTGTAGAGAGCATATTGATGGATCCTGTTTTTTTATCCATTCTGTCACTGTCTGTCTCTTTATGGGTGCATTGGGGCCATTTACATTCAGTGTAATTATTGATAGGTGCGAGTTTATTGCTGTCATTTTTGTAGTGCTTTTTTTTTTGTGGTGCTGATGTTTTCTTTCTTCCTCTTACTCTCCTGTGCTGACTTCCTTTTCTCTAAACAGAAATTTTAATTTTTGTACACGTACATTTAGAATGGGGCAGTCGTGGTTCAGTGGTAGAATCCTACCTTCCCTGTAGGAGACCCAGTTCAATTCTTGGCCAATGTACCTCATGCACAGCCACCACCTGTCTGTTCTCAGCATCATAGCAACACCCAAGCCTCCACTGAAAGGCAGGTAGTGGCTACACGTGAGCAAGAGAGCTACTGAGTGCTTTTGGGCAGGAGGCTTCCCGGTAGAGTGGGGTGCCTCTGGGCACTTATCAGGGAGCTAAACAACTTTGTAACACTTGCCGGAGCAGGGCAGAGGCCAGCCTGAGGGGTGCAGGGGCTGAGGGAGAGGCCTACCTGCAGGCACGGCCAAGGAGCTGCCCTGATGGAAGAACGGTATCCTGAGTCGTTCCTGATCCTTTATTGTAACCTGTTACTTTCCTAATAAACTCATAATCGTGAATATGGTCTTTGAGTTCTGTGTGGCCATTGCAATGAATTATTGAACTCAGCAGAGAAGTAGAGATTGCTGTGGGAGGGACAGCTAGTGTCAGAATTGGTAAGAAAGTTGGAGAGAAACTGCCAACACCAGCACCTCTCTGCCTGGGTGCCTCCTATGGTGGGCAGTACCCATTCTGCCGAAGCACGGGCGGGCAGGAAATGCCTGAGAATGAATATCCTTTCCTCAACCAGGTGACAGTAGGGGTTGGTATATAAATACCCTAGTGCCCTCACGCATCAGAGCAGTAACTCTGAGCACATGCTGTACATTGGCTTCTAAAGTTCCCTGATGGGCTAAGGTCCAGTTTTTTACTGTGGTAACTTGTTTGATAACGCTCCCTTTTTTGGCTGAATTACCTACTCTGTCTCTTTTCCCCACTTTCCTACTGGTGTTTCCTTCACATCCTAAATAAATGACTTGCATTTGGTTAAAAAAAAAAAATAAGGTTGGAGAGAGGAAGCACGTCTGACTTCTGCTCCATAGGAAATCAGCCTTGGACTGATGTTGATGGTGATCCTTTCCTCCCGTTTGTGAAGTTAGTGGAGGTCAGACGACCTCAATGCCATTTTTACACAACCACTGAAAACAGCTCACTGTGTGTTTGTTAGAGATTTGTGAATAAACGAATATATGTATCACTTAATTAATACATTATGGAGATCACACATATCCAACCATGCTGATCTTCCAACAGAATCCCACCAAATATGATTAATAGCTCATTCAACTCTTCTTATACTGATGGACAAGTTGAAGCTGAGTTAGGGCTGATTTTTCTGTATTCTGCTGCATCCTGTCACAATCCTTTGGCCATGTATGTGTATTTACCCTCCTAAATAGAAGCTAAGGAGCTCTGGTGATGCAATGGTTAAGGTTCAGCTGTTAGCTCAAAGGTTGGCAGTCTGAACCTACCAGCAGCTCCACGGGAGAAAAGACCTGGCAATCTGCTCCTATAAAGATTACAGTCTAGGTAACCTATGGGGCAGTTCTTCTCTGTCCTATAGGGTCACTATGAGTTGGAATTGACTTGATGGCACACAACAATGAATAGAAGCTACATGAGAGCAGGAACTTGTCTTATTTTCCTGTTTGTATGAGTCTGTGTATTTCCTCCCCTGTATCCACAGCAAAATGTCTGGCGTGTAGTAGATTCAATTGTATTTGATGAAGGAGCAAACCAGTACCTGGTACTTTTCTTCCTCATCTGAATATAGCATTATATTTTGACCTAGGTAGCAACTGCATTGCTAACTCTTGACAAGCATGGATTTCAACAGTCTTCTGTATAATATTGGCGAACAACTGGACAGTGATAAACTGGCCTCCCTCAAATTCCTGAGCCTGGACCATATCCCACAAAGGAAACAGGAACACATTAAGGATCCCTTGGCGTTCTTCAGGGCACTCCAGGAAAAGAGACTGTTGGAAGAGAACAACCAGTCCTTCTTGAAGGAGCTCCTTTTCCGAATTCAAAGTCTAGACTTACTGACCAAGTACCTTGGCATCAGTAAGCAGGAGATGGAGAGAGAGCTTCAGAAACCAGGCAAGGCCCAGGTTTCTGCCTACAGGTGAGTAGAACCTCCACAGTTTGAGGACTTGGAGGTGTGGGTTAAATGGATACATCTTTGTGGGCAGGGCAGACTGAGGTTTGTCTGTATGGTGTGACTTTGGAGCCTCTGGGAAGATGTCCCACCAGGGTCAGATTAAGAAATTTAAAGGCCCTAAATAGCAACGTAGGTCCCTGGGTGGTGTAAACAGTTTGCACTTGACTACTAACCTAAGGGTTGGCAGTTTGAACACACTCAGCAGTGCCTTGGAAGACAGGAACTGGTGATTCACTTCTGAAACCTGGAGTTGCTATGAGTCAGAATCTGCTCTGTAGCTACTGGTCCTTCTATTCTCAGAGACATGTCCGGCATGTCCCTTGTCATACATTTCACTACTCTGAGGCTTGGCCATTTTTATTTTAAATGACAAAAGAGATATTCAGGATAGCTTTAGTTTAATAGAATTGTGAAATTCTTATAAGGAATTTATTCATTAAGATACCAATTAACCCTAAGAAACAATAGCGCCAGAACTTGGAAAGCTGGAGGGTCTCATTTTATATTACCATCTTGGCCTTCTGAAAATTCCACTCCTTCTTCCATGTGAGCTAGGCTGAGGCAAACCATCAATACCAGACAATGATCTGAACCTTTCTGCTGGAGGACTAAGCGTTCCCAAACAAGGGCAGGATATGGCAAAATCTTTCACATATTAGATCGAGATTAAAAAGGCCAGCATAATCACAACCCACAGCTAGTTCATCATTGTTGAAAATTAGCCAGTAGATAAGGACTATGCTAGTGTGGTCACTTTCCATTTATATGAAATGCACTTTTCTTCCAAATGGAAATAAGTAGATAGAACTAGATGTTTTACTTTCAAATTATAATTGCTACCTATAAAATAAGTATCTTATAAACTAGGTTTATTCCTAGACAGTGAAGCTACAAGAAAGCCAGCAGGTTTCAGTAATGAGAAAGTGAAAAAGGTAAGTTACCTTGTAATAAGGTATTTTTTAATTCCAATTTGTTACATTTTTAATGCAAAATTTATTAAAAATACCTTGCAATAAAATTAAAAGAGTCATAGTAGCTTTCAGTTAGATTCAGTCTTGGCCAAACTAAGAAAGCTTTAGAGAACCACTTCTGGGGTAGAGGTTCCATGAGAAGATAGATGAGCCGATGATAACACTGAGTAACTTCTGTTTCTACACTATTTTTATTTTCAGAATTTTAATTTTCTAATTTAATTTTGAAGTTAACATGTTTTGGTATTAATTTTCCTTTCCACCTGTAATATTGAAAGGTTTGCTGACTTATAAAATACTTCTTTGTTCATCCATTCAACAAGCATATCCCAAAAGTCTAGCATGTACCAAGAAACAATAGTACATGTCCCTGGATGGTGCAAATGCTTTGCACTCGAATGCTAACCTAAAGGTTGACGGCTGTAACCCACCTGATGGCACTGTGGAAGAAAGGCCTGGTGATCTGCTTCCATAAAGATTATAGTCAAGAAAACCCTATGGATCAGTTCTACTCTGTAACACACGGGGTCGCCATGAGCCAGAATCAACTCGACGGCAAAGGGTTTTTATCACTTGTTGCACACTTAGTGTGTGCCAAAGATTGGTTTAAGCACTTTATCCATTTAATATTTATTTATTTTTCGTTTAATTTTATTTATTTAATTCTTGCCACCTCCCTAAAATGTAGATATAGTATCATCTCTAGTCTACAGGTAAGGGAAAAAAATATGTGTAACATGTCTAAATCACACAGCTCATAGATACGCAGCCAAGGTTCCAACACCGGTAGCCTGGGTCCCATGAACTTAAACACTGCACCTCACAGCCCTCTGGGTTTATGAAAAAGTAAAAAGGGCACAAACTTTGCTATCAGAGAACTCAGTTTGGTAAACAGACAATTATGCGTGTTATCCTTTGGGTGATACAAAGGCACAGGGAAGGAGGGAATGCAGTCTGAGGACATCTAGGCAATGCTTGAGCTGATTCTTAGTGGGTAAGTGGGAGTCTGCACATAGCCAAGGAACTAGAGGTGTAGGAAGTGGGGGGGGGGGGAACATAGTGTAAAGGGGTGAGAAGGTAGGTGTGTTTGGAGCTTCAGGTCCTTTGGTGTTGGTGGAACCTGTAAGGGCTCTGTGAGGGTGTGTTGAGGAGACTAGAGGGAGAGGGCTGAGGTGCAGTGGGGGAAGAAGATGAGCAGGGCTCAGTTCACAAAGGTGGAAGAAGATGAGCAGGGCTCAGTTCACAAAGGTGGAAGAAGATGAGCAGGGCTCTGTTCACAAAGGTTCTTGTATTCCAAAACCAAATGTTTGGCCTTCCTACTGAATGAAATGACTGGGAGGATACTGACAAGTTTTAATTAGGGGAGTGATGATCCAATTTGCATTTTAAAAAGCATAATTTCAAAAAGTCCATTTATTTAATTGTTGTTGTTAGGTGCTGTCGAGATGGTTCCAACTCACAGCGACCCTACGTACAACAGAGCAAAATACTGCCTGGTCCTGTGCCATCCTCACAATCATTAGGCTTGAGCCCATTGTTGCAGCCACTGTGTCAATCTATCTTGTTGAGGGGCTTCCTCTTTTTCGCTGACCCTCTACTTTTACCAAGCATGATGTCCTTCCCCAGGGACTGGTCCCTCCTGATAACATGTCCAAAGTTATGTGAGGCGAAGTCTCACCATCCTCATTTCTAACGGGCATTCTGGTTGTATTTCTTCCAAGACAGATTTGTTCATTCCTCTGGAAGTTCAATATTCTTTGCCAGCACCATAATTCAAAGGCATCAATTCTTCTTTGGTCTTCCTTATTCATTTTCCAGCTTTCACATGCATATGAGGCGATTGAAAACACTACGGCTTGGATCAGGCACACCTTAGTCCTTAAAATGACATCTTTGTTTTTTAACACTTTAAAGAGGTCTTTTGCAGCAAATTTACCCAATGCAATGTATCACTTGATTTCTTGACTGCTGCTTCCACGGGCATTGATTGTGGATCCAAGTAAAATGAAATCCTTGACAAATTTTTTCCGTTTATCATGATGCTGCTTATTGGTCCAGTTGTGAGGATTTTGGTTTTCTTTATATTGAGGTGCAATCCATACTGAAGGCTGTGGTCTTTGATCTTCATCAGTAAGTGCTTCAAGTCCTCTTCATTTTCAGCAAGCAAGGTTGTGTCATCTGCATATCATAAGTTGTTAATGAGTCTTTGCCAACCCTAATGCCGCATTCTTCTTCATATAATCCAGCTTCTCGGATTATTTGCTCAGCATATAGACTGAATAAGTATGGTGAAAGGATACAACCCTGATGCACACCTTTCTTGACTTTAAACCACGCAGTATCCCCTTGTTCTGGTCAAATGACTGCCTCTTGGTCTATGTACAGGTTCTTCATGAGCACAAGTAAGTGTTCTGGAATTCCCATTCTTCGCAATGTTATCCATAATTTGTTATGATCCACACAGTCAATGGCTTTGCATAGTCGATAAAACAGATGTAAACATCTTTCTGGTATTCTCTGCTTTCAGCCAAGATCCAGCTGACATCAGCAATGATATTCCTTGTTCCATGTCCTCTTCTGAATCCAGCTTAAATTTCTGGCAGTTCCCTGTTGATGTACTGCTGCAGCTGCTTTTAAATGATGTTCAGCAAAATTTTACTTGCATGTGATATTAATGATATTGTTCAATAATTTCCACATTCTGTTGGATCACCTTTCTTTGGAATGGGTACAAATATGGATCTCTTCCTGTCAGTCGGCCAGGTAGCTGTCTTCTAAATTTCTTGGCATAGACAAGTGAACACCTCTAGTGCTGCATCTGTTTGTGGAAACAGTTCAGTTGATATTTCATGAATTCCTGGGGCCCCGTTTTTCAACAATGCCTTTATTGCATCTTAGACCTCTTCTTTCAGTACCTTTGGTTCCTGATCATATGCTACCTCCTGAAATGGTTGAACATCAACCAATTCTTTTTGGTACAGTGACTCTGTGTATTTTGAGTCAGATAATCATATGGTCTTCTATGCCAGGAATGACAAATTGAAGAGGAATGGCGTCGCATTCATCATCAAAAAGAGCATTTCAAGATCTATCCTGAAGTATGGATAATATCCATATGCCTACAAATGGCCAATACTGGTCCATTTCACCTCACTATTGCCTAGGATATTGATGTTTATGCGTTCCATTTCATTTTTTGACAATTTCCCATTTTCCTAGATTCATACTTCGTACATTCCACATTCCGATTATTAATGGATGTTTGCAGCTGTTTCTTCTCATTTTGAGTCATGCCACATCAGCAAATTAAAGTCCCAAAAGCTTGACTCAATCCACATCATTAAGTTTGACTGTATTTTGAGGAGGCAGCTCTTCTCTAGTCATCTTTTGAGTGCCTTCCAACCTGAGGGACTCATCTTCCAGCACTATATCAATGTTCTGCTGCTATTCATAAGGTTTTCACTGGCTAATTTCTCAGAAGTAGACAGCTGGGCTCTTCTTCCTAGTCTGTCTTAGTCTAGAAACTGCTGAAACCTGTCCACCAAGGGTGACCCTGCTGGTATTTGAAATATTGGTGGCAGAGCTTCCAGTATCACAGCAACACACAAGCCACCACCGTATGACAAATTGACAGACATGTGGTGGTTTTTATTAGAACAAGTTTTTACCTTATGATGAAGGACAAAAGAAAAACAAGATTAATTTAACTGAAAGGCAAAGTTGCTCAAATTTTAAATTTTTTTCAGGGTGGGATAGTTGGACATTTGTTGTGGTTATTGTTGGGCGCCGTCAAGTTGATTTCGACTCATAGGGACCCCATGTGACAGAGTAGAACTGCCCCATAGGATTTTCTAGGCTGTAGTCTTTACAGGAAGCCCTGGTGGCACAGTGGTTAAGAGCTCAGCTGCTAACCAAAAGGTTGGCAGTTCAAATCCACCAGCCACTACTTGGAACCCCTATGGGACAGTCCTACTGTGAGTAGTATACCTACTATGAGTAGGTATAGACTCGACGGCAATGGATTTTTTTTTTTGTTTGTTTGTTTGTTTGTTTTAATCTTTATGGGGGCAGATCCCCAGGTCTTTCTCCTGCAGAGCCGCTGGGGGGTTCGAACTGTCAACCTTTCGGTTAACACCTCCAGGGCTCCATAGTTGGACATTAGCCAGTAGTTTTCTGTGTCACAACATTGTTCTCTTTATAAGGACTCAGTTCATACATCATGCCATTAACTGACTTCATTTTAAAGGGAGGTCATTGGAATCAAGTCTACTGTGACTCCATATATCAAATGGGAAATTATTTAAGAAAATATTTCTAAAGTGGCTTCATTTCCCACTGCAGGGTCATGCTTTTTCAGATTTTCGAAGATGTAAACAAAGAAGAATTAAAGTCCTTTAAGTTTCTTTTGAAAAAGGAGATTCCAAAATGTAAACTGGATGATGATTTGGTAAGACTTGTATCCTGCCAAGTTTTATTCCTGGGAATTGGTCAGGCAGTGGGGATTTCTGAGATTGAAGAGGATGCCTCTTCAAGGACAAGCAACCTAGATTCTCATTTTTCAACCAGGGGAGAATTAAGTTGTCAGGCATGGCTTTTGTAGATATAATTCCCTTGTAGACTGTAAAGTGCTGCTCACATTAACCATTAGGAGCAAGGAGAGAAGGCTGGTAGTTTGTTGGGGCACAGCCCAGCAGAGCCAGAAGACAGTTGTGGGCCTGAGGCATTTCCCCATTTTTGCAGTCCCCAAGACAGCCTGAAACTTGGAACTGAGGCAGATGCGGGGAAGGGGCTCAGGTCTGAATCTGGATTGGGTGCCAGAGACAAAGTAGAGGTGTAAGGCAGCCCCCAGGGCCGTCATCATGGCAACTGGGCTGCTGTGTCTCAGCCAGGCACCTCAGACTGCTTCCCAATTGCCACACAAAGGCATCCACAGGCCCCTGACTCAGCTGACATGGCTTCTCTTCTATTCTCTCACTTGTGCCTTTCTGGGCCAGAAAACACAGAATCACCCTACCGCCATCCCTCTCGTAGTCCATTGGCTTTACAAGACCAGCATACCCGCTCAGGAAGATCTGCTTGGGAAGCAAGGGAGGGCCTTTCATTTAAAGAAAGTGGAAGCAAAAAAATCTCATCTGAAAAACAGTATCACTCAATCCGGTCTTCCAACTTTGTTTCTCCTCCTTCTAGACCTTGCTGGATATTTTCATAGAGATGGAGAAGAGGGTCATCCTCGGGGAAAGCAACTTGGACACCCTGAAAAGAATCTGTGACCAAATCAATAAGAGCCTGCTGTTGAAAATCAATGATTATGAAGACTTAAGCAGAGGTAGAAATAACCCGACAGCAAAATACGTTTGTAAATTGTGTTCTTAAATTGACAAATCCTTCTATAATCACAACTGCTTCTAACCAGCTGTGGGGGGTGGGTTTCTTTTTAATTCAGAGGGAAGAGCGAGCCTTGAAAGTTCAGATGGATTTTCAAATGGTAATACTTGGAGATAAGTTTTCACAATTTAGTAAGTTAATTTACTCTCAGATATCTGCCTGCCTCACCTCCACAAACTTTCTACCATGTCCACATCTTAATGGACCTACTGTCCTAACATCAGGATGAAACCTCAGTGGCTGTTTGTAGCTACCTCCTCTACACATTGAAAGATGTAAAAAGAGTTGTCAAAAGACAGACCCTGAAGCCTCAGACTGACCAGTCTGACATAGGTACAGAGTTTGTCAGTAATGTTTTCTCCCAGCTTTTCTCTTCTTCCTTCCTCCCTCCCTCTCTCCCTTCCTTCCTACCTTCCCTTTCTCTCTCTCTCTCTCCTTCTCGCTCTTTCTCTCGAGATTGCTTGCTTGCTTGTGTTACGTACTGGGTAACTGGATTCAAGGAGTTCCTGGGTGGCACAAATGGTTAAATGCTTGACTACTAGCCAGAAGGTGATGGGTCAAACTCACCCACAGACACCTTGGAAGACAGGTCTGGAAATCTGCTTTTGAAAGATCACATCCTTGAAAACCCTATGGAGCAGTACTACTGTGCACATATGGGGTCGCCATGAGTCAGAATCAACAACAATAAACTGGATTCAATATATTTTCAGAATTCCTTGGTTATGTCACTTACTCCTTCAGCTAAAATAATTTAGTTTGCCCTTCCTGACAGAGGCCCCTTGACTGAATATGAGTTGAGTCATTGTGTCAACATCACCTGCCTGCCTCACCCTGGGTCAGCTCCAGCCAAATGACACTTTTTATCCCAGAGAGGGAATTTGGTCCAATCCAATCCTGGGTAAACTAGGCTAAACAAGGAGAAGGGAATCTCAAGAAGGATCTCCTTCAAAATTGTGATTATTAAAAAATTATTTCTGACTATAAAAATTATGTATACTAACTGAAGGTTATTTTAAATTCAGAGGAATATTTTTTAAAACCCAGTAATCCCATCACCCTATAAATATTAATAGTGTGAATATTTTTGTTATATTTTCACCCTGGCTTTGTGTGTATGTGTGTGTATGCGTGTGTGTGCACAAAACAAATTTTGGATCGCTCTTTGTTAACGATTGCTGTTGTTGTTAGGTGCCATCAAGTCAATTTCAACTCATAGCAACCCCACAGACAGAGTAGAGCTGCCTTGTAGGGTGTAATCTTTACAGGAGCAGATTGCCAGGTCTTTTCTTCCACAGAGCCACTGGTGGATTCAAACTTTCGGTTAAGAGCTGAGTGTTTAAACTCTGCACCACCAGGGTTCCTTGTTAAAGAATCAGGCTGAGTGATGTTCATGCATCCCTCCTAACTCCACACTCGCCAACCCCAAGGCTCTAATAGGCTAAAGTTCTTTTAAATCAATAATTCATCGGGGCTAGTGCTTTCTGGTAGTTTGATTACAGAATATCTCACAAATACCACAAAGTGCAGCCTAGCGATGTGGAGGAATATAAAATTATGGCACTTCTTGGCCATAATGCTCCCTTTAGGGATGAGACCTTGTGTCTCCAGAAGTATGTTAATTGCCCAGCCTTCAGAATTCCTGTGGACTGAAAGACCATATTTAAGGCCTTTGAATTTTAATTTGAGTCTTTGAATTTTTATTTCTAAATGTACCTTATGTTGTCCTAAAGGAGCCCTGGTGGCGCAGTGGTTAACTGCTCGGCTGCTAACCGAAAGTCGGCAGTTCATACCCACCAGCCGCTCTGAGGGAGAAAGATGTGGCAGTCTGCTTCCATAAAGATTACAGCCTTGGAAGCTCTATGGGGCGGTTCTACTCTGTCCTATAGGGTCGCTATGAGTCAGAATCGACTCGACAGCAGTGGGATGCTGTCCCTGGTGCTACATGTTTCTTTACCAAAGTACTTTCCCTGCCATGTCTCATTCTAGACGTGTCTTTTGATTGCTTGTAGGGGAGGAGTTGTTCAGAGAGCTGGCTATCTCTGACTCACCAAGAGAACTGGAAAGTGAGTCACAGGTACGTGGAAACCTCCAATTGCTCTTTCCTATGCTTTGCAGATGCTAATTATTATATTCATTAGCTTTTTTAACTACCAGATAAATCAATAAGGGGCAGAAACTTATTACAAATTTTGGGAAATGTAGGAAAAAAATCACAAAAAGACAGATTAAAAATGTGGCCTCTTCAGTTTTCTATGAATTAAATTTTAATTTTTAAAACAAAAGACAAAGGTGTTGGAATGGTTGGAGGGTAAAAAGGATAGGAAGCTTCCTACCTAATCTTTCCAGGAGTCACATCAGCCTGAATAGGGGAGGGCTTTGGGGAAAGAGTCTGTTTAGCAGGATTGGAAAAGGCAAAGCCTCGTCTTTGAGTTTGACATTTTCAAAAATGTTTCTCCTTTGTAATTAAATACAAGCAGCAAACATTCATGATCTAGCCATCTCTGTATCCTCATCTTGATTAAATCAGCATAATAATTTCCTTTCTAGACATAATAGTGGCATCGTGGTTCAGAGCTTGGCTGTTAACCAAAAGGTGGCAGTTTGAAACTACCAGCTGCTCCTTGGAAACCCTATGGGGCAGTTTTACTCTGTCCTGTAGGGTCACTATGAGTGGGAATCGACTCAACGGCAACTGGTTTGGTTTTTTTTAGACATAATAATGTCTGCTTATGTAATATTTAACAATTCACCAAATGCATTCTGACTTATTAGCCCATTCACTCCTCCCCAAGTGCTACTTACTGTCAGGCTCTTCATGAGGCCTCTCTCAGTCTAAAACTTGGTGATTAGCCAAAGTAATGTGGCACTTTGTAAACAGCACTCTACAAGTATTGTCCCCACTGAACAACTAAAGATATTGAGTCTAGGACAGATTACGTTGCTGTTGTTGTGTACTATCAAGTCAATTCTGACTCACAGTGACCCTACAGGACAGAGTAGAACTGCCCTATAGGATTTCCTAGGCTGTAAATCTTTATGGGAGCAGATAGCCGGTCTTTCTCCTGCAGAGCTGCTGGGTAGGTTCAAACCACCAACCTTTTTTATTAGCAGCCAAGTGCTTAACTGTTGCACCACCAGGGCTTCTTATAGATTAGGTAACTTACCCAAAGTCTTATGGTTATTAAGTAGTAGAGCCAGGAATTCTGCCGCCTAGCCCAGGACCCTTTCTCTACCTCAAGACTTCCATCTAAATGCTGACTGATGTCAGCATTGAAACAGTCCTGGGAAAATGAGCAGGACACAGGGCCGCCTCTAACAGGTTGTGTCAGGTACTTCAGTCTGGATACTGGAAACTGCAGTGTAGCCACAGCCTGCCTGACCAGTGCATCTCACCCCACCAGCTCCTGTGGTCCTGAGTGCTGAGTTAAGACATCAGCTTTAAGAGGCCCAGAGACCACACTATGTCATGTCTGAAGGGCAGGCACGCAGCCCAGAAGCCCGGATGAGTTGAGCAGAAAGCCCAGAGAAACAGAAGGTCATGGAGGAGCAGCCATTCGTTCAATCAGCAACTCTTGATTGAGCACTCACAAGTTAATAAATTTTAGTCTCTGGCACAGATGGAATGTGTCTGGAGGAGTCTTCTGTATAGTAAGCAACATGAGAACAAATAATTATAATACCAAATAATTATAATGCAAATTAAAATTGTAACAAAATAATGACAACAATATATATATGCAGTGTTCAGAAGCCCCAACAATTGGGACATTGACTTTACACACTAACTTTGGGGCAGAAGTCTCGGAGAGATCTAGGAACAGGTGGAAACTAGTTCATCAGGGAAACAACCCAAATTGGGGTGGGATAATGGAAAGCCAGTTTCGCTTAGGAGACAGCCCAGTATCTCACTATGGATTGTTTGTTCGAATCTCTAGTGTTTGACCCACAGAGTCAGCTCCTAGGTTGGGTTTTTGTTTTCCAGATATCGGACAAAGTTTACCGAATGAAAAGCAAACCTCGGGGTTACTGTCTGATCTTCAACAATTATAATTTTAGTGTAGCACGGAAGGCTGTGGACAAACTTTGCAACATTAAGGATAGGAATGGAACAGAATTGGATGCAGGTACAGTATAACCCAAAATAGAGCAGTGAAATATTTCTTATACCTATGTTTTTATCCAAAGGGGGAGAACAAAAGTACCAACAGGGCCATGTGTTTAAAGAAAAAAATGGATGCAACCCAGTGGAGGTGAAGAACAATCTATTTGTTAATTTTTTAAAAAAATTAATCTTTTTCAAAGCAATGTATATATAAAGTATTAAATCTTACTAAAAGGCAGCTTATTAAAAGCAGCAGTAAGATTTGTTTTTAATTCAACTAAATGTATAGTGCCCCTGTGACATGCATTAGGCATTAGGTGAAAAAATTGCCTTGGTATCAAGACCACTTATAAAAGGTATGTTTGTAAAAGTTGGGCTATTGAGTGCAGCAGAAATTATTTGTCCTTCACATGTTTCAAATGTTAAACTAGCTAGAAATACTTCCGGACAGCCTATTTAAGCTCAGACTGAAAACTTACAAGTTAAATGAAAAAAACAATTTGTGGCATATGAATATAAAAACGACTTCAGCTAAAAAGAATAATAGAAGTAATCCAATCTGACCATAGTGATTATTAAGAATTCTGATGTGATTTGGTGTTCATGACAGTTACAACATCAGGTAATGATATTTTGCAAAGTTTAGAAAATTAATGTAGGCTAGTTATAATCATCAGGACTCTGAGATGATCCCTGTTAACAATTGATTTGTTATTCAAGCAAATTGATTCTACGATTTTACAAAACCACAGATTAAGTCTGTCAAATACATCATTCATCATCATACATCTTGGTATTGAAGAAAAGTTTTCAGGTCTCTGATTTCTATTGATCTAATATTAAATTTCTCTTTAAATAATACTCTACTTCTGGCAGTTGATTTTCCTTATATCTGGCCCATGACTGACTTGGTTCTGGTGGGCATTTAAGTTTGCATGCCCTGCTTTTTCTGTCCCTGTTATTATGTTCCATGCCAAATGAGTAAAAGAGACCTACTGCTTGAGTCATTTGAGAGGATTTAGCATAAGTTAGATAGATACATTTTATTCAAAAAAAATTTTAACTTTTTTTCTGGTTATGTAAGTAATACAATTATTTTTTTAATTGGTTTGGTAGTCAGTCTAAATAGTAGTTTATACAACTTTTTTTTTTGTGGGAGAGGTGGGCATTTCTTTCTGGCCTATCACTACATGCCCATAACTAGGCATAGGGCTTGGTTCAAAGTAGGGAATCAGTATATATTTGCTGAATGAATAAATGAATGAAATTGCGTGATATTTCTTAGTGAGAGGACCAAAGAGATCAACAAATCAGAAGGTGCAGCAATGCCATGACTTTTGATCAGTCCATGTTTGTTGCAGAGGAAATTTCTAGGCAAAGTATTGAATTAATGGGAACATGGAGGAACAATAAGTAATTCACTGGTACTGTAAATATTGGCCACTTGTAACTGTTGTTAGTTTATACATCTTGTAGACTAGTTCAGAAAAGACAAGTCAACAATAGTCTCCCCTTCCTGTTTGCCTCATGATTTGGCAATGTTCTCAGCTGGTGGCAATAAATATTAGCAGCCATGGAATCCAACTACTACTCTTTTAGAGGGGCTTGTTCTTTAAATTCTGGTTCAAATTCTTATCTGATCAATGTTAGACCTGTTGGTGGTGCTCTTTAGCTCTGGGTTGTGGTCTGGGAATTATTGTACTATGAGTTTCCCTTATTTCACTTTTCAGAGGCTTTGAAAAAGACCTTCAGTGACCTTCACTTTGAGGTAGTACATTTCCAAGACCTCACAGCAAAGAAAATCTGTGAAGTTCTGGAATCCTACCAAAACAAGGACCACAGTAACAACGACTGCTTCATCTGCTGCATCCTCTCCCACGGAGACAAGGGCATCATCTATGGCACTGACGGGCAGGAAGCCTCCATCTGTGAACTGACCTCTTACTTCACTGGTTTGAAGTGCCCTTCCCTTGCAGGCAAACCCAAAATCTTTTTTATTCAAGCTTGCCAAGGGAGTAACTACCAGAAAGGTATAGCTGTTGAGACCGATGCAGAACAGCAGGAAGCCTGTTCAGAAATGGCATCATCTCAGAAGAGTTATATTCCAGATGAGGCTGACTTTCTGCTGGGGATGGCCACTGTGAATAACTGTGTTTCCTACCGAAGCCCCGTGGAGGGGACCTGGTATATCCAGTCACTTTGTGAGAGCCTGAGAGAAAGATGTCCTCGGTAATTTTTGCCTGCCCACCCTCCTCAGTTTTATGCTACCTATCTCCCCATGGCCACTACTATACATCCATATCCAGAGGCCATTAGAAGTTGCTTTATGGTCAATATTAACAGATCAGATCAGTGTCCAAGGGGAGTGTTGCCAGGTCAGTTGTGAAGTGAGAGAGATGGCAAGTGCTAACATCTTTAGTTCATAGATGGAGAAACTGAGATACTCACTGAGGGATTTGACTTATTCTACATCTCAAGGGCAATCAGGGAATTACAGAGCTGGAAAGGATGGTAAAGCCATGTATTCCAGCTCTCTGTCTTTCAAGCAGGAACATGACTGAGTCAACCCAACTAATTTTGGAAGTCTTCCAAGAAGGTAGTAACCATTCCGATGTTTAACATTCTCCAACTTTGTCAAAAGTTCTATAATAGCTAACAACCTCACACCTTCTTGGTACATTGTGGGAGATAAGTTGATCACCCACTTTAGTAGCAAGCCTTTATCTTCCCACTGATTTGGTCTGCTTTGAAGCCATGAAATGTAGTACACAATATCCTTTCCTCGTTTATTACATCATATGCTCCTTTTAGTTAAATGGAAGTTTCTTACATCACAGATTACCTAAATGCACACACACCTGACAGATGAATAGCAAGGAATCTTCTGCAGTTTCCTTCTAGTTCTATATCTCATTATGTTTTGAGTGTACGCAGAGTGAAAATTTCCCATGGCAGATAAAGGAACTGACCCACCCTAACATCAGTATGATGTTTCCCTGTTGTGAGACCATGAATCCTGCAAGGTTCTAGGGGCTAGCTGCGGAGGTAAAAGAACAAACAAAGCTGATAGAGAGGCTGGTGAGAAATGGGTAGGATTGGCTGCAGGAGACATTCAATTTTCACTTGCGTAGCTCTGCGGGAGAAAAGTTCTGGCAATCTGCTCCCATAAAGATTACATCCTTGGAAGCCCTATGGGGAAGTTCTACTCTGTCATATAGGGTCGCTGTAAGTTGGAATTGACTCCATAGCACACAATAACAAAATTTGATTGCATCATATGTGAACCCACAGAAGCAATGTCATTTGAAGCAGAGAGTGTTGGGGGACATCATGGGGATCGTGGGGCCAAGTGATAGTACATGGAGCAGAGAGAGGTACACAAGGTCAGGAGGGAAAGAAACCAAATCTAATGCTGACACTGGGGTTTCTGATGGTCTGTAGAGATTCCCAATAAACCAAAGGTAAGTTATTAACTGGGCTTCCAACCAGTTCATTCCAGTTCGACCCCCTGCTGATCCCCAGGGGATTCTTAAGAATCCCTGTTAATCTATATGTTAAAATGTAGATTCTGATTCAGTATATCCGGGGTGGAAATGCGAATTCTCAGCAGAGATCAAACCGGAATGAACTGGTTCAAAGCCCTGCTTATTAAGCTCTGAGCCAACTCCTTTATCTGGAAAGCTGTTAGGTCTTAGTTTCCAAAAACAACAAACCATGTGCTGTCAAGTTGATTCCAACTCATGGCGACCCCATGTGTTACAGAGCAGAACTGAGCTCCATAGGGTTTCTTGGCTGTAATCTTTGCAGAAGCAGATGACTAGGGCTTTCTTCCATGGTGATCCTGGGTGGGTTCCAACCACCAACCTTTTGGTTAGCAGCTGAGCGCAAATTATTTGCACCACCCAGGGACCCTAGTCTTAGTTTAGCCAGTTATTATTTCAAATGCCTATGTTTTGAGGGAAAGAACTATCATTTAGTACAGCAGATGAAACAGTTCATTTGAGTTTCTTTCCCCACCCATCCTCACAATGTTATGCTATGTTTTTCAGAGGCGATGATATTCTCACCATCCTTACGGAAGTGAACTACGAAGTGAGCAATAAGGATGACAGGAAAAACATGGGGAAACAGATGCCACAACCGATGTTTACACTGAGAAAAAAACTCTACTTTCCTCTTAATTGATGCTAGTATTTATCTACATATCACTGCTGCTTTATTTTTTAATAAGCTAGACTTATTTTGCGTAACATTGCTTAATTTAATATATTATTACTACCATTTTGCACCTTTTTTTTTAATGGCAGGAAGGGGAGAGAACAGGAGTCAGGATATTCTCCTAATGCTCCTGCGAAGTCAAGACCAAATCTCTGCCTTTGTAATAATAGCAGCCAGTATTTGGCATTTATAGCCATAGCCATTATTTTAATTGCATCTTTAATTAGTGAAAAAATTTAAAATTTTATAGTAGTTGCAAAAAGTATATTAAGTTTAAAAGAAAAGTAACAATATACCATAAATGTTGAAAAACAGTGGCAGAATGTTTCTTTACACAGAACCACTTAAATTCATATTCCCTTTAAATTGTTAAGCACTTTTTTAAAAAGCAAAAACAAGAACTTAAGAGCATCATTCCAAACCTTTTACTCTGAACATGGTGTTAATAGCAGCACGGAACCTTTATAAGGCATAAGAAGAGGAGGAAGTGGTGAAAGTCATTTCCCACTATACGGCCTTGGGTGATTTGTCAGACTTGCCTCTCCGCTGCTAGGTGTAGATTCTATCAAGCAGAATTTGAGATACAATTGGTATCCAGGGGAATGGCAGTGACACTCTCTCAAAGGCCACTTAGGTAGATTTTTGTTATCTGACCTCATTAAAAAACAAACTCAAGTGCTGAGGTTCAGTGTGTAATGCTCCCACACCCAGGCTGACCCCTGCTGGTAACTGGGACAAACAGCATCAGAAACAAGTGCACCTCTTTTCCTTGACTCCTCTCCTGAGCAAGGGGAAAGATACCATCCCTCTACTTAGGCTTAGATTTCACAAGACCTGGGGACGATCCTCCTTGCTTTTACTACTCAAAAGGACACCATCAATCTCATTTTTAAAGGGGCAGAAGTTAAGAAGATACCAACTTCATTTTTTGTATTTCGTCTCTCTCCTTCCAAGCCATCCTCCACACTACCTCCATAGATTAATTTTTTAATGTAAATTTGAGAATGTCAAATCTTAGTTAAAAAGTTGTTAAAATTATTTTACAAGTTTTTTATCATCTTTCCCCACACTACTTGTTCAGGCTCTTCTCCTGTCGCTTTCCTAATATATCCATGCTTCTGTTCTGGCCAACGTGATTTGTTTTTGCTAGCAATGCTGGCTTCCTTTCACTCATTTGCTTTGTTTTCTGTTCATTTTAAACATTAAATATTAGGTATTAAGTTATCTTTAAGAAGTAATCTTTTTTTTTAGAATAGTTTTTCAAGAATAGATTTTTAAAGAATACAATTTTATTTTACTGTTCCTTGGAATTTGTTGTGTGTGTGTGTGTTTGAATTTTTTTCTTGCCACTGGCATCTCACAGGTGGAAAATGGTTGACTCACAGACATATTTTACTTGGGCCTCCCCAATGGTGGGAGTCCCTGGCTTAACACAGAGGCACCTCAAAAGAAAGGCCTGGCAATCTACTTCTGAAAAACCAGCCATTGAAAACCCTAAGGAGCACAGTTCTGCTCTGACACACATGGGGCCGCCATGAGTCAGAATCCACTTGATGACAAGGGGGCTCTTCATCCCCCTTTGACTCCTCCCCACCCCCACTCCAATGTTGGCTCGAACAATTTTTAATTAGTTAACAACATTTAAATATTGGGAGATGTCACATAAAAACCAGAATACTTTCTTTTGAAAATCAGAGTATCTGATAACCGTGACCCCATGCTCCTGTAGGAGAGCAATGGAAAGGGTCTGAGAAGTGCCTCCTTCAGGTGGGGCATGTGTTCTGACATTCACCCATTTCTCTCCCTTCTTCCCCTCTCCCATCCCCACAAAATTCCCTCCATGGAGGCTAATTACCATTGAGCGCTGTGCTCATGCAGTTGCTATTCTTTATGTCCAGCCCGCTTCACTTATTTATGTTCCCTGCCCTATGGACAGTTGAATTCTGGTGATGCTTTAGAGAAGGTGGTAGAAATCATCAGAAACTCCTCCCAAGTCTTTAGAGAACATGATTGAGAGGTGGGAGAGCAGGGCACATGTCTGAGAGAAAAAGTTTTTGTAATCAAATCTATCAATTATCTTTCTTGCCAACTAAATACTCCAGGGGGGGAAAAGCCACATCCCAAAATACAGTCAATGTTTAATAGGAAGAAGGACTTCAGATCTGTCTCTTTCTGTAAAGGCAGAAGAGAAAATAGTATGATGCCCAAAGAAAGCTCAGCTCCAGGTATAGAGAGCATCCTTTTACAATACAGTCATGAAAAAACCACACAACAGAGATAAGAACTCAAACATTCCCAACCACTGAGAAGAAAGCAAGTTGTGAAAAGACAGAAGTGAACCAAGGCAACCCAAGAACTAATCATATGCATTTCTGAAGAAAACCTCATAGGACTTCTCTAGGCCTGTAGAGATGGTATTCCTGCTGTCTTCAGCTATGAAAAACAACTTTTTATTTATTATTCTTGTTTTTTGTTGCAAGAGCTACTACCATCTTCTAAAATGTCAGAATAATCTTCATAAATAGTAATAGAGGCCGATCTCCCAGATCGCCCTTCATAAATTTCTTCATTCTTGGCAATTATTTTTTGCCTGTAAAGGAAGGGAAGATGTATCACTATAGACACAAAGGGTAGAAAGGGATATAGGATATTTGTGGGGAGAGAATTGTGGCTTCATTTCTTCGCTAGGGGGTAGTCTACCTCCTTGCTTGCAGTGGTTTTGAATTTAGTGAGAAAATCGTATTTGGATGACAAATTCTCATTTTAGGAATTTCCCACTACATCAACACAATGAGTAACTTTCCTTTATTAAAGTATTGGCCCAGATCGATTTAAAATGATTTAAGATGCATCCTCAGGGAACAGTATAATTTCCGACCCAAAGTTGATTTTCACAGGAACCAGATGCAGCGCCATCTAAGGGTAAGCGAAACCAAAACCAAACCCATTACCGTGAAGTTGATTCTGACTCGTGGAGACTCCATGTGTTACAGAGTAGAACTTCTCCACAGGGTTTTCTTGGCTGTAATCTTTACAGAAGCAGATCGCCAGGCCTGTCTTCCGCAGCACTGCTGGGTGGGTTTGAACTGCCAACCTTTTGACTAGCAGTCAAGTGCAAACCATTTGTGCCACCCAGGGACTTGAAGGGTAAGCCACTGACCCCTAAACCTCCAAACTATCAGGGGAGATGGATTTCAAAACAACCCTCTGTCACAGAACTAAATAAACTTGGGACTTGCAGATGAATCTTATGTGCTGTTTTGCATAAAAACAGAGACACAGGCAAGGGAGAAACGTCTACACACATCCCTGCTCCACTTCATATTAACTGTCTGACCTCAGCCTAGTCAACTTGTGTCCAGGTGCAGAGTGACATCCCTGTCTCCTTAACATCACTGGGGAGCACCCGGGCTCATTTTTATTACCTATTCCCTCATCCACACTCCCTCCCACCTCCTAATGGTAACTCAGCTGAGTGTCTTTGAGCAGCAGCATCCATACCTTAGTTGCATGTTTTCTTGTGTCAGGATCTGTATTGTGTACTTATACTTTTCTTCGGCTTCGGCAAGCTTGGTCTGGAGTGTTTTCTCCAGATTCATCACTGTAGCTTTCTGAAAGACAGATACATTTTAAGAGCTATATTTTCTAAACCAGAGCCATCTGGGGTGGCGCTATATAGCAGAGTTGCATAGACATCTGGGTTCCCTCCCACCAACACCCATCTCCACTCCAGCCAGGACTCACCTCTTTCTGGAGTTCCATCTGGGTTTGGTAGAGGGTTGTGTTAAGTGATTCTAGGATAATAGCTTGTGCGTGCAACTCTCCCTCTACGATCTATGTAAGAAGAAATTGTTTTAGGACATCAAGTCCATGTCCACCTATTTATTCCCTCCTCCAGGGCACCTGGATTAGAATCTAAAGCATCCAATTTAACTACCCCTTCTCCTGTACCCCTCACAGCCAACCAGTCACCACGCCCTATTAATTCTACCACCCCAGTGTCTTGCCTATCTATACCCTCCTCTTAAGCCTCACTGTCACTATCCCAGAGCCAGCCCTCACCAGAGGTCACCTGGGTTGTTACAACAGTGATTCACTGAACAAGTATTTATTAAATACCACTACTGCGCTAGGCACGAGGATTACGGTGAACAAGATGTATATAATTCCTGCTGCTGTGGAGCATACATTTTAGTGAGGGAGATGGTGAAAATTAAAACAATTACAATAATAAATTGTGACAAGACTAATAAACAAAACAGGGAGGAAGACATCAGATAAAGTATGTGAGGTACAGGGAAGGGTGAGTTTGGAACTTAATTAGATAGGTCAGGGAAGGACTCTTTAAGGAGGTAACATTTACACTGAAAACTAAAGAATGAAAAGGGGATTGTGCAGATACGCTAAGAAGGTAAAGAGCTCAGTGTTTCTGAGGACATGAAGGAACACCAGTGTGGCTAGAACAGAGACAGCAAGCAGAACAGTGGGTGAAGATGAGGATGTACAGAGATGCCAGGTCATAATGAACCTGGGAGGGCTTGGTGACCTAAGACAATGGGGTGCTAATGAAGAGTTTTAGGCAGAGAAGTGTCATAATCTGTTTATATTTAAATAACACTTGCTGTTCTGTGGAGAATGGGTTGGAGGGTGGCAAGAGGGAAGGCAAGGAGACCAAGGAGAAATAATGGCCTAGTGTGAGATAGCAATAGTGCTGGACAGAAGTGGATGAATTTGGAATATGTTATAGGGAATTGCTGGTACTGATGAACTGATGTGGGGGGAGGAAGAAAAGAAATCAATGATGGCTTTTTAGGTTGAGGCTTGAACAGCTGGTTGGTGTTAGTATCCCCGGGGAGCTGACAATAGTGAGAGGTCAGATTTTCAGGAAAATCAAGTGTGTGGAGTTTGACACGTTAAGTTTGAGGTATCTGTAAGTCACCAACAAAGCCCTGGTGGCACAGTGGTTAAAGCTCGGATGCTAACCAAAAGGTCAGCCGAATCCACCGGCTGCTCCTTGGAAACTCTATGGGGCAGTTCTACTCTGTTCTGTAGGGTCACTATGAGTTAGAATCTACTCGATGGCAACAGGTAAGTCACCAACAGAGAAATGTAAAATGAGCAGGTGCATACATGGCCTGGAGCTCAGAGGAGACAGTTAGGCTGTAGGTATCAATCTTAGAGTTGTCAGCATGGAGATAGCATTAATATCTAAGTAAAAAAAACAAACAAACCCGTTGCTGTCGAGTCAATTCCATCTCATAGCAACCCTATAGGACAGAGTAGAACTGCCCCATAGGGTTTCCCAGGAGCATTGGTGGATTTGAACTGCCAGCCTTTTGGTTAGCAGCTGAGCTCTTAACTACTGTAGATGAAATCATCTAAGAAGTAATAGGAGATAAAGAAGAGAAAGGGGGCCTATAACCAAGTGCTAAAGCATTTAAGCATTTAGAAGTTAGGTGGAGGAGGAGGACCCAGCAGAGGGGATGGAAGAGGAGGACCCAGCAGAGTGGATGGAGGAGTGAACAATGAGATAAAATAAAAAACAGAAGCCTATGAAATCCAAGAGCAGTGAGTATGTCAAGGAAGGAGTGATCAATTGCACCTGATACTACTGAAGTCAAGTGAGGTGAGGTATCCCTTAAATTTGGCAACTTGGGAGTTACTGGTTATTTTAACAAGAGCAGTTTCAGCAGATGAGGTGGGAGCAGAAGCCAGGTTGAGGTGTAAATGGGAGGTGAACCTTCTAACAAGTTCTTCTCCCCTCATTTTGCCTTTTCAGACGCTCCTCCACATTGCTGCCAGAGTTCTTTTCCTAAATGATACTCTTTCCTCAAAAACCTCCAGTGGCTTCCCACTATCTAGAGAATTAAGTCTGATTCCTTGTGATGATGAATGGAGTATTTAAAGCCATGAGTACAGAGTTAATAAAACCTTTTTTCCTTCTCTATGGACAAAGTAGATATTGGGTTAACTTTCTGTTCTGTTCCCCTGGAAACCTATGATAAAGGTGAGAAAACCTTCTAATACACAGGGTATTGAGTAAGTAGAGTATTCAGAACAATACTACCTCAGTAGTTGAGGAAAAATTATCCCTAGATTATAAACCAAAAAAAACCAAACCTGTTGCCGTCAAGTTGATTCCGACTCACAGTGATCCTCTAGGACAAAGTAGAACTGCCCCATAGGGTTTCCAAGGAGCAGCTGGTGGATTCGAACTGCTGACCTTTTGGTTAGCAGCCAAGCTCTTAACCACTGTGCCACCAGGGCTCCCCCTAGATTATAGGCTGCTTTAATTCCACCTAAGGAAGCCTAAAAGCAAGGCTTTTCCTGTTTCTAAGTAACTTAACTGTATCCCAGGACAAAAATCAAGAATATTTAAAGGAATACAAAAATACTCAGCATCTAACAAGGTAAAATTCATAATGTCTGGCATCCAATAAAAAATTACCAGGCATGCAAACAAACAGGAAAATATGACCATAAATGGAGAGAAAAATCAATCAATAGAAATAGACCCAGAAATGATACAAATGATAGAACTAGTAGACATGCCCACTAAAATAGTTAATATAATAAATTGGTCTACCTGGCTCCAAAGCCCATTCCTTTATCTTATAGAACATCTTAGTCTGTTTGCCCTTCCACAAGGAAGCACCATAATTTGTCCCAGAACAGATTCCTTTGAGGAAGCTGTTATTTCTGAGGCACAGAGTTTCAAGGAGAGGTCTGGAGATAGAGTTCTGTATGGGGAAATACTGTACTTTTCAGAGCTCAAAGGGAAGAACCTGGCATTTTACAATTCAAGACCCTTTTGTAGTTTGTGCCTTACTAAAAATGCAAGGTGTTAGACATTGAAAATCACACAGTATGCTGCTGTATATTTGTTCAGATCTGGCTCTAAAAAGATACCAACGGTTTTGTTTTACAGACAGTTTTAAAACCCTTTTTGACTTATTAGATCCAGAAAACTCAGCTTTAGGTTTTCCATTTTTTATTGGTTTTGGTAAAAATATCACAGATCCCATTTTACTGAGAGTATATGATTTTACTGAGGTATTTGTAAGATATCAATTCCATAGGAAAAATGGAAAAGCTTACCTCTTTGGTCTTCGCCAGCTCTTCTAATTTCAAAGTGTCAAGTTTATGTTGTTTCAAGAACTCCTAAAAAAATAATATTATTTGGAAAAGGTTAGCAATTGCTTAGGAGGAACTCTGGTTGCCTGAGGCTGTACATAACAGTTATATAATGGTTATAGAATCTTGCCTCTGTAATACCATTGTATCTATCTTCAGCGAACTTTCATGTACCCAAAAGGTCAGAGAGCTGGTTGTATGAACTGTTTGCGGCCTGCTTGTTAATACATGTTTGGTTATTAATATCCACATGGATGGTAAAATTTTGGTAGAATTCAGTCTGAGATCTGCTTTCATTATAAGCTGGTATCAGTACCAAGGTTGTGGGGAAATGGCTAACGGGGATAGTTAACCCTCACCCACTTCTAACTTTTATTTAGTAGCTACTCTTATTTACTAAGAGTTGTGCACCACCACAGTTACAGTCAAGGATGAGAAGAACATTCAGTGACTGGGATTTTGGCTGAATAGGGAATTTCAGGTTCTGTATATGTTAAGCTGTTGTTAGCTGTTGTAGAGTTGGCCCCCAACTCATGGTGACCCCATGCACAGTGAGGTCAGATAGTTGTGATCCGTAGGATTTTCAATGGCTGATTTTCAGAAGTAGACTGCTATGCCTTTCTTTCTAGTCCATCTTTATCTGGAAATTCCACTGAAACCTGTTCAGCATCATAGCAACCCATAAGCCTCCAATGACAGATGGGTGGTAGCTGTGCATGAGGTGCATTTTCTGGGAATCAAACCTGTATCTCCTGAATGAAAGATGAGAATTCTACCACTGAACCACCAATGCCTCTGATAGAAGTCCCTGGGTGGTGCAAGCAGTTAATGCGTTCAGCTGCCAACCTAAAGGTTGTAGGTTGGAGTCCACCCAGAGATGCCTTGGAAGAAAGGCCTGGCAAGCTACTTCTGAAAAAGCAGCCACTGAAAACCCTATGATGCACAGTACTACTCTGACACACACGGGGTTGCCATGAGTTGGAATTGACTCAGTGGTAACTGGTTTTACTGGTATATGTTTAATATTCTGTTATTTCCTGTCCATTACAATTTTCATTCCAATAACCCTGTGGGAAGACTGTCTAGCTAACAGACAGCACGACTGTCAGTCTATTTGCATAAATTTTCAGGAAAGCTGGGAGAGACAGAATATGCCAATAAAAACAATAATATTGCCTACTTAAAGAGGCACACTTGGGGACTCCCCCAGACTACCCATTCAACCATCAAACTCAGCCCAAAGCAGATTTACCTCCTTTTCTTGATTGAAACTCTCAAAGACAACACTGTAGGATTGACTTATTTTCCTCTTTTCTTCTTCTGACTCTAACTCCAACTTTTTTGTTATCCTACGCTCTGTAGAGGTGAGATGAAAGTACATATATGTACACGTGGGAAAAGCACGTGCAGAGAGAAACCCAGAATATATGAAAAGAAATTCCAGACAAGGTCAAATTCAAGGTCCTTTCAGCCCAGTGTTTGGCCTCTGACACTCACCTGAAGATGCTTGAGAGTAACATGATCATGATGGTTGTCCTCAATCCCATTAGCCATATGGATTTGGCTCAAACATCTCTGGTTCTTTTTTGTGTAGTTTATTTTGTATCTGCTGCTTATTATTTTATCCATTCCCTATGCTAAAGTAAACACTACGCGTCTTGGATATCCTTATTTTAAAATAAAGCCCTTGGCTAACATAACTTTTCTAATAATAAAATTCATTCTGTACTTAGCACTGAGCTTAAACTGTTTTTCTGGGCAGGGAAACCTGCTAGCAGAGCCCAAGTACTAAGCAGAAGGAAGGAGGAGTGAGGGGCTAACATGAATCTCTTCTTCAGGGTCATGGTTCTGAGAATGGCTAGGGAGGCTCTGTCCTGACACCCTAAGAATAGACTAAGCTATATTATGAGCAGCTGAAGTCTGGTCTTTCTAAACTGGTTGTAACAACTTAGAATTTGACAACTTGTGATGACTGTAGTATGAATAGTTGGAAGTCTGGGCGATGGCATGGGTTACGCTGCACCAGGATCCTAGGGAAAGCCTAAGATATGAACAGTTCTCACATTCCATTCCCCAACTTTGCATCCAGGGTCTTCATGCTACCTTCTAACAGTCCTGGGTCCCCACTATGATGTGAATGGCCATGAGGATTCACTTTCCCAGTGAGTATCTACATTTAAACGAGCAATTTGTTAAAACCAACTAAATCTCTGATATGAATGGGGTTGGGGTAGGATATGGAATAGGTTTGTAGATAGAGACCCCACTCCTATCTCAGCTAATCTCCTAGATCAGGAAGCAGAATCTCTATACATTCCTCTCTCCTTTTTCTATTTATAAAGCTCAGTGTTAAGCGTTAGAAATATTAAAATATATATCAAACATGGCTCCCTTTGGAGGGATGTGGCAGTATAGAGGCTCCCGGTATAATGGATTTTATTTGCCCCCACCCTGGCCAACATCTGAATATTTAAAATTCTAATTCAGAAACTCCTAGAACTTCGGGGTCACCTATATCCAGATAACAAGCCTACATGCCTACCAATGTCCCCACACTTGTTTCAGCCCATGAGTGAAAACTTGGAACGACTGAGTTTGAGAAGGTGCCGGCTTAGACCCTCAATTGGCTGAACTCCATAAAAGACCCCACCCTTGTTGTCACTTAGCTTTCTTGAAAACTCCAGGCACCTTCCATCCAGGAGTCCAGCCTCATGGTCCCACTACCCTCAGTTAATCCAAGGCCATTTTCTTCAAGTCGAGGCCCAGCATAACGGCAGGTTTTGATGCACCTATCAGCAAAAGCCAGAATTATACTCACTTTGCTGTAGCAGGATCTTTTCCCGCTCCATCTTCTCATCCTTTTCCCATTCTGCCTTCTGCTCTGACCACTTATCTTCCATTTCATCAGAAATGCTGTCCTGTGGAGGCACAAAGACACCATAAAGGAAAAAAGCCTAATAAAAGATTCCTGGAGAGGCTGTAATCTCACACCAGGGAAGGCTCCTTCCTGCCTGCACTGTACACTGGCCCAAGACACAGCACTGTACCCTTTCCAGCTTCCCTTACTGGGACCCTCAGTGAAAAGCCCCTACAGTGTGACTTATTGTGGGAAGACTATTCCAGCCTAGCCCAGCTATGAATTCATGGAATTCTAGCAGTCAAAGGCAAACAATGCATGGAATTTGCCCCACTGAAACTGGGCTTCCCTTGAAGACAGGTAGGGTTCTCCAAGTTGAAGAACCATGTCAGCCCCTTGAATTAAATCACTCATCCAAACACGTGGAGAAACAAGGGAAAAGCCTAGTAGCTAATTTGAATATTTAGAAAATGATGGGATGTTTTTCAGAGTGTCCATTTTTCCTCAGCAAATCTAACTTCCTTTGTGGTTGAGGTTAAATCAGCCTAAGCCAATGCCAGTTTTGTTGGTTGGTCCAGACTTTATGAGCACAGACCCCAGAGGGGTTGGAGGCTCAGGAACTGGGTACTGCCAGTAAGGTCCAAGGACCCTGAACCCCCTTCCTTTTCAGTTTAGCAGCAGGACTCACACCAGACTCGGGGCATCTGTGCTCACTTGTAATTCATTGTGGCTATTTATATGGGCGTTCTCATCATTTTTAAGACTGGCAGGCAGCTCATTGCTTCAATGCCACTGAGATCAAACTCTCTGGAGAGGCACAGACTGAAGCAAGCACAGAGTATACTCGGGAAGCTGAGGCAGCTTAGCTGGTCATAAGCCTGACACTTCTCTTAGGCTGTGCTCTAGGACGCTTCCTCTGATAGTATAAAGGTGCACCTTGAAAACTGAGTTTTGGACACAAGCTCAAAACTGAACCTAGGTGATAAATAAAACTTTGGAGGTGGTGCTGGGGCTTAAGCTTGTTTCCTCCTTTGATAGGGTGACTAACCAGCTCTCTGCCTGCCTGGGACTGAGGGGCTTCCTGAAATGCTGGACTTATAACTTGTAACCAGGATGAGTCAGCCATGCTACTTAACAATTAAATGGATGGGAGCTTGATCCTTGGCCCTTCCCCTGCCCATTCCCATTGCCCCTAGTAAGAAATCATGCCCTAACTCTGTTTCCCTGGGCCCCCATCTACTTAGCTAAGATTAAATGAGTGGATTATGCTCTGAGATGGCTGGAGAGTACTCTTGCACCCTCCTTGTGAGGATGCACAAGTGATGCAGCCTTTTGGAATGGCAATTTGGCCAAATGTATCAAAGGCCTTAAAAATGTTCACTCCTTTTGATGCAGCACTCTACTTCTAGAGTCAAAAGTTACATGTTCAAAGATGTTCAAAGCAACATTATCTGTTACAGCAAACAACTGGAAACAACTCAAATGGCTAACAGTAGGGGAACGGTTAAGCACCTGAAGGCGCTTCCATTAGGATAATATCTAGTCACTAAAAAGGAGAACCAAAGTTTATTAGTGGTTACGGGGGGTTGGGGGGAGAGGGAGAAAGGGGGAGTTATTGCTCGGGGGCACTGAGCTTCTGTTAAAGGTGATGAAAAAATTTGGAAACAGATTGCGGTAATGGTTGCACAAAGTAATAAACATAACCAATGAACTGTACATGTAAATATGTTGAAATGGCAAATGTTTTGTTTTATATATGTATATATACACATACACATACATATATATATATATAGATGTAGCTATATAAATATATGTAATGGAGCCCTGGTGGCCCAGTGGTTAAGCACTCAGCTGCTCAGCTGCTAACTGAAAGGTCAAAAGGTCAGCAGTTTGAATTCACCAATGGCTCAGTGGGAGAAAGATGTGGCAATCTGCTTCCATAAAGATTACAGCCTTGAAAATGCTGTGGTGCAGTTCTACTCTGTCCTATACAGTCGCCATGAGTCAGAATTGACTCGACAGCAACAGGTTATATATATATGTGTGTGTGTGTGTGTGTGTGTGCGTGTGTGTGTATGTGTGTTATGGATTGAATTTTGTCCCCAAAAAAGATATGTTGAAGTCCTAACCCCTGTACCTGTGAATATGACCTTGTTTGGAAATAGGTTTTTTTTATGCTTATCAGTTAAATAAAATGAGGTCATATTGGAGTAGGGTAGATCCTAATCCTAATCCCTTCTGGGTAGTGTCTTATAAAAGGGAATGACAGAAACAGAGTCACATGCAGGAGCAAGGCATCATGTGAAAATACATCTGTGAGTGGCAAAAGAACGCTAAGGATTGCTAGCAGCCACTAGAAGCTAGGAGAGGGACATGGAGCAGTTCCTCTCAGAACCTGCAGAAGATGTCAACAGGGCTGACGCTCTGATACAGACTTCTAGCCTCTGCAACTGTGAGATCATAAATTCCCATTCTTTAAACCAATCATTTTGTGGTATTTTGTAGTGGCATTCCTAGGTATCTAAGTGTCTCTCTCTCTCTCTCTCTCTCTATATATATATATACATACATATACACACACACACACACACACACACACACACACACAGAGTATATATCGGGGCCCTGGTGGCAAAGTGGTTAAGAGTTTGACTGCTAACACAAAAGGTCAGCAGTTTGAATACAACAGCTGCTCCTTGGAAACCCTACAGGGCAGTTCTAATCTGTCCTATAGGATCGCTATGAGTTGGAATCGACTTGATGGCAATGGGTTTTGGTTTCTTGTATATACATAGTTTACCAATAGGCAAAGAGGAGGCTGAATGGTCCATACGGTAATGGATTAGAGTTAGAGACATCAGTTTGAAATAATATTTAACTTAACATAGATACAGATGGTTGCATATAAAAATATTTATAATCCCAACAACAACAACAACAAAAAAGCCCTGGCGTAGATGGCTTCACTGGAGAATTCTACCAAACATTCAGAGAAGAGCTTATACCAGTACTACTCAAACTACTTCAGAACATAGAAAAGGAAGCTACACTTCCGAATTCATTCTGTGAAGCCAGCATAACCCTGATACTAAAACCAGGCAAAGACAACACACAAAAAAAGAAAATTACAGACCAATATCTCT